CCGCCCCCACTTTGTGCATGGGTGTGCTCTATCTCTCCCTCTAAAATAAATAAATAAATCTTATTAAAAAAATAAATAAATAAAAGAAAAGATAGTGGGGCACCTGGATGGCTCAGTCCGTTAAGTATCTGCCTTCGGCTTAGGTCATGATCCCAGGATCCTGGGATTGAACCCTGCCATCAGGCTCCTTGCTCAGCAGAGAGCCTGGTTTTCCATCTCCCACTCTGCCTGCTCGTGCCTTCTCTCTCCCTATGTCAAATAAATAAAATCTGAAAGAAAGAGAGAGAGAGAGAGAAAGAAAGAAGGAAGGAAGGAAGGAAGGAAAGAAAGAAAAGAAAAGAAAAGAAAAGAAAAGAAAAGAAAAGAAAAGAAAAGAAAGGAAAAGAAAAGAAAAGAAAAGGAAAGAAAAAGGAAAGGGAAAGGGAAGGAAGATCTGCCTTCAGCTCAGGTCATGATCTCAGGGTCCAGAGGTTAAGCCCTACACTGGGCTCCCTGCTCAGTGGGGAGTCCATTTCTCCCTCTCAATCTCTCTCTTTGTTTTCCTGCTTTCTCTCTCTAAAATAAGTAACACCTTTTAAATAAATTAATAAAGGGGTAAATGTCATTAAAATACATATATTTACAAATACTCCTTAAGCTATACTCTGTAGTATCGCAGAAAGTGATAGGGTCAAGGCCCTCACAATTTACTATAATTTCATTTTATTTTTTAAGATTTTATTTATTAGACAGAGAAAGATACAGCGAGAGAGGGAACGCAAGCAGGGGTAGTGGGAGAGGGAGAAGCAGGCTTCCCGCTGAGAAGGGAGCCCAATGCGGGGCTCAATCCCAGGACCCTGGAATCATGACCTGAGCCTAAGGCAGAAGCTTAACAACTGAGCCACCCATGAGCCCCAATTTACTATAATTTGAAATAAAAGAAAAATGAGAAGCAAATTCTTTTTTTTTTTTTAAGATTTTATTTATTTATTTGACAGAGAGAGATCACAAGTAGACAGAGAGGCAGGCAGAGAGAGAGAGAGAGAGGGAAGCAGGCTCCCTGCTGAGCAGAGAGCCCGATGCGGGACTCGATCCCAGGACCCTGAGATCATGACCTGAGCCGAAGGCAGCGGCTTAACCCACTGAGCCAACCAGGCGCCCGAGAAGCAAATTCTAAAGGAGTAAGAGAAAAAGAAATTATGTTGTTTTTTTTTTTAATATTTTATTTATTTATTTGACAGAGAGAGATCACAAGTAGACAGAGAGACAAGCAGAGAGAGGGAGGGAAGCAGGCTCCCCGCCAAGCAGAGAGCCCGATGCAGGACTCGATCCCAGGACCCTGAGATCACGACCCGAGCCGAAGGCAGCGGCTCAACCCACTGAGCCACCCAGGCGCCCCGAAATTATGTTTTTTTTAAAAAAATGCTGCATGTTACCTTCCCTATGACCCTGCAATTGCAATACTGGGTATTTACCCCAAAGATACAGATGTAGTGAAAAGAAGGGCCATCCGTACCCCAATGTTCATAGCAGCAATGGCCACGGTCGCCAAACTGTGGAAAGAACCAAGATGCCCTTCAAGGGATGAATGGATAAGGAAAATGTGGTCCATATACACTATGGAGTATTATGCCTCCATCAGAAAGGATGAATACCCAACTTTTGTATCAACATGGATGGGACTGGAGGAGATTATGCTGAATGAAATAAGTCAAGCACAGAGTCAATTATCATATGGTTTCACTTATTTGTGGAGCCTAAGAAATAACACGGAGGACATGGGGAGATGGAGAGGAGAAGGGAGTTGAGGGAAATTGGAGGGGGAGATGAACCATGAGACTATGGACTCTGAAAAACAATCTGAGGGTTTTGAAGGGGCGGGGGGGTGAAGTTGGGCCAGCCAGGTGGTGGGTATTGTGGAGGGCACGTATTGCATGGAGCACTGGGTGTGGTGCATAAGCGATGAATTCTATAGTACACTGAAAAGTAATTAAAAAAATAAAAAATTTTTAAGAAAAAGACGGAAAAAAAAATGTTGCATGTTGGTAGGGCAAACTTAAAAAGCTATCGTATACTTGCTGGACCAGGTAGATTAAGGGGAAAAAATGTGGTCCCTGCCTCCAGAGTCTCCAGAGGATTAATTCCCACCACTCCCCAAACCCATAAATGTAAACATTAGAGAAAAAGAGAAAGAGGTTTTCTTTTCTTTTTTTTTTTTTTAAGATTTTATTTATTTATTTGACAGACAGAGATCACAAGTAGTCAGAGAGGCAGGCAGAGAGAGAGAGGAGGAAGCAGGCTCCCTGCTAAGCAGAGAGCCCGATGTGGGGCTCGATCCCAGGACCCTGGGACCGTGACCTGAGCCGAAGGCAGAGGCTTTAACCCACTGAGCCACCCAGGCGCCCCGAAAGAGGTTTTCTTAAACCAAAAAAATCAGGAACCTAACGTAAGTGGACTGGCTGCTCTAGGACAGAAGAATAAAAACTAGATTGAAAGCTTTTTGAGTTAAAAATAAAATTATTCCATGTGTCAAAGCATCAGAAGCCAAGAAGAGGAACAAGACACAACCAACACTCAAGAGACCCAGCTCAGGTTCTGACAAGCTGTGCAACCTTGGGCAAGTCACTTCACCCTTCTGATCCACAGATGGCTCTTCCATAAAAATGGGCATAATAATACTTTCCTGGCAAAGTTGTCTGTGATGATTAACATGAAATCACTTCAAAAATTACTTCACGAAACATGCCAATGTGAAGTAAAAAGAAGCAAAAGTCCTTCCTCTGAATGGAATATAAATCCTGTGGTTAAACTTCCAAAGTCTAGGCCTGACTCACCTTCACAACCTCATTAAACTCCTTAACTAATCTGCAGTCATTCAAATACGAGAAGAGTCATGCATGAGGCTCCAGGGGTGGGGCAGTGACTATTTAGTCAATTGTTCCATATCTTAGTGGCTTCATCTGTAAAATGGGTGGTGTGTAATTCACTTATATATCCACAAGATAGTGCAGGTCTGGGGAAGGGAGTGGAGAATTTACCATAAGTTATATTTACATAACCCTCCCCTCCTCCAGAGATGAAGAACCAAGATCATCAAATATCATTGCTCCCTAGACAGAATTAGAAGACATCATTTAATCTCTTGTTTTACAGATGGGAAAACCAAAGCCCAGTTTTGAATTGGGTTGTAAACTTCTCAAAGCTAGACAGTGGCAGAGCTGAAGCTGGCAGCCAGAGCCACAGATTCCCAAGTCCAGTGCCCTCTTTACCAGATTTCCAGGTCATCCACAGCACGTAGCCTGTACAAACACACTATCAACAACAAGACACATTACAATTTAATCAACAGCTAATATGGCCTATGCAGGCAGAGAGGGTTTGTAGGACTCTAGGGGAAACAAAGAGGCTGAGAGCTGGGAAGGGGAAGTCTTTATTGAGGGGCAGGAGGAGGTAGAATCCTAGAGGTACTCAGATAAGAAAAAACTAATGGAAAATTTCAGGCAAAAACGGTTTAAAACAGGCAGTCTTGGGAAGAAAGACCCGATGTATACAATTTTCTTTAGGGAAAATAAATATGTGGCAGATTTAGAGAAGCAGAATAGTTTGAATCAAGATATAATTCCTAATTATATATAATTTCTCTTTTGTCTCCTCAGTTTTTAATATTTACTAATAATTTTAATTCCCTAAACAATTCTGTCTCTCCTATAAGACAAGGTCCTCTGCAGAAACCACATCTTACATAGTGGTAAATATACAGACTCTGGATTCAGATTGCCTAGATTCAAATCCCTATTTTCCTACTTAATAACTGTGCCTTGGACAAAATCCTTCACCCCTCTGTATCTCTGCAAAATGGAAATTAACATCACTCCCATCACAGGTTTTGTGAGGATTAAATGTGTATATTAATCATTTTGGTCACAATCTAATAATGGGTTTCACAACATTTTAGTTTTGATGTGCCTTTTTATTTCATGTTAAAGAACAGAAACTACCAGAGTATACCGCACATCATAAGAACAAGTATTGTTCTGCAAAGATTTCGTTTCATATACGTGTGCATATATGAGTTATTTTGTAAAATTTAGCTCTTATGGTGGTTTGCTTTTAAAACTGTTGGGAAACCTGGTTGGCTCAGTCGGTGGAGTGTGTAATCTTGATCGTGGGGTTGAGTCCAAGCCCCATGCTGGGGATAGAGATTACTTAGAAATAAAATATTTAAAATAAAAAAATATGAAAGCCACTCAATTATCATACAGAATAAAGCTTCAAACAGTGCCTGGCATAGTGCCATTACTGTCATTGTTGCTATGACATACCCACCTACCAAAGTTGTTTGTAGAATTATATATGGTAATGCAAAAGCACTTCAGAAACTATGATATAGGGCACTAACATAAGTTAAAAGAAGCAAAAAGCCCTTCTCTCCATCTCTAACATACACGCACGTAGAGCCCTATTCAGGCACATACATATTCCTTGTTTGGCCTACAATTTATTTGTTACATTAAACTGAAGAGTTCACAGACTTACGATTTACCTAACAGTGTCATGCTCTCTCAATATTTGCAGAGAAATGGAGACTTGGTGCCAAAGTCAAATTATTTATTTTTACTCGATTAGGATATTGGGGTGAGGAAGGCCGAAGTCATGCCCATGCTTAGCTGAAGGAAGCCAGTGAGTCACACACAGAAACTGCTTGCTCCCACAGAGCCAGGTAGATTTAAATGTGCCACAGACAAGGCTGGGCTGACGGATACTTCAGCCTTTGGGTAGGGCTGAATCATTTCACCCTCCCTATCGTCACCCAAACACCTCATTAAAAAAAATAGCATTTGAGCCTCTTACAGATATAGCTCATACCAGGAAAAACTGGGAATCCCCAGATACAAACTGGGGGTAACTATGCACCAAAAGGTTACCTGAGGGGTTCCTTTAAATGACAAGCTCACCTAAACATCGAAATAGCACTGAATTCTAAAACCATAACTTACAGAAAAATTTGAAAATGTGCTCACCAATAAGGAAATCAGAAGATCGGGATTCCATCCTCCACACTGTGTGACCTTGAATTAGTCACTTCATCTCTCTGGGCCTAAGTGAATTCGTCTGTTAAAAAAGAGAGAGAGAGGTAACACCTACCTCAGAAGATCATTGTAAAAATTAAAGATAGCATGCAGTAAAATGATAGCACAGCATCTGGCACTGGTAAATGCACAGTAACATTTGTCTCTGTCCCTCCACACTTAAAGTGAATGCCAGGTGTGGGTAAACTGAGGTTCACCAGCCAGATGCCCTCTGAAAAAGGTCACTGGTATCTGAATGGCTTTATGGAAATTATCTTTTTTTTTTTTTTTAAGTTGTTTTATAAGACCATTTCTTGGTCTCTCCAGGACACCAGCCTGAAATAAAAGTCTAGAAAATCAGTAGCTTTCTATCTCATTTCTTAAAGCAGCAATTCCTAAATGCTTCGGTACTGGGGGGCCCAAATTAACCACTGGTACTGCCCCTCATTACTCAGTATTAAATTAAAAACTAACGAGAACTCAGTATTATGCCTTCATTTTTCAGTTAATAAACGTTTCCATTTTAAATTAATGGAGGAAATGCATTAAAATTCGGCAGCCGAGGTTTGGACCCGGGTGGGCAGAGCACTCGCTGCGAGGGGAAGGCTCCAGCCAAGACGCACGGGATGGGGGTGGGGGCATTCTGGAGCTTTCGGGTCGACCCCAATTTCTCGTTGGCGACAAATCCAGGACACGTGTCGCCATTTTGTGTTCTGGAAACATGGCGGCCACCCCGTGGGGAAGGAAGGGGGGGCGGAGGGACCGCCACGTTAGCCTCTCTCCCTGCGGGATTCTAAAGCACGTTGCGCACACGTCTGTCTGGGTGCCTCCTCTGTCTGGCTTAGCCGAAGTAAAGAGAAACGGACAGAAATAAACGTACACGAGCCACCCAAACGACTTTTCTTTAGCGAGAGGAACGTGCGATGGCGAAATGCAAGAAAGGCCTTCCAAGATGGCGGGGCCCGATAGGGGCCGCCCCCAAAGAAAGCGGGGCGCGGCGTCTGCGCCAAGGGGAGAAAGGCAGAGAGGGAGCTTAAACGGCGTGGGGAAAATTGCAGGAACCCTCCCCCGCACTACTCGGGACCCCTAAATAAATGCGGTCCCCAAGAGGCACACCATTGTCTTAAATGTCTGACAAGACTGCCACGACTAAAAAGACACTAGGAGATGGGGTTTCTCTAGATTCAACCGAAAGAAACTTGCAAAATGCAAACAAAGCATTATGTAAATGGACGCCATTCTTTTTTTATGGCCATGTTTCCAGCACTCCCCAGAAATCAACTGCAGAGCCGCAACTTGGGCGGCAGTAGGGGGGATTTCGGTCTTTTTCCTCACCGGCCGCCGCTGGGGGACCGGGGCAAGGGTGGGGGCTGGCGCGGGGCGCCCGGGCACCGGGGACGAAGGGGCCCCACGTGCCTGCTCGCGCGCGCGCACCCGCCCCACAAGCCTCGCCTCGCCGCCCCTCCCCCCCGGAAGACCGCCGCTGCCCCTCCCGTCTCCCCACACCCTCGCGCACGCGCTCTAGCCGCCTCACGCGCACGTTTTAAATCCGCGGCGTCCCAGCTGCCGCCTGCAGTTACTGCCGGGGCTGCCCGTGTCGCTCCGCTTCCAAACCCCTTTTGCAAGGCGGGAAAATAATGTTTCAGTCCCATTCACAACACTAACATTTCAAAACAATTGCCAGTGCCGCTTGAGTTAATAAAATGCACGTTGTTTTAAAACCTTGCCGGGCTCACAGCGTCTGCCCATCGGGGCTTTATGTTCAACGCTAGACTGTTAAAAAGAGTTTTTAAAAACTACCATGTGGAGGTTGGCGCAATCTTGTGACCTAAAAAAGACGGGTCCTCATTTTTTTTCAAGGGGTCCTGCGCGGCAAGTACTTCCGGGGTCAGAGGGTACGCGGGGTTGAAAGCGGGCTTCCCGCCCCGCCCAGACCGCCGAGGCTGCCGCCGGAGTCGCCACCGCCGCGCCCTCGCCCACCCGCCCGCCCGCCGCTCCCGGCCCCGCTCGCCCCCTCCGCCGCCGCCGCCTAACCCTGCGACGACGCCGCGGCCTCCCGCCCGCGCCCGCTCGCTCCCGCGGCCCTCGCTCGCCTCGCGCCGGCAGTTTTGGGCCTACACCTCCCCTCCCCCCGCCAGCCACCAAAGACTTGACCACGTAACGAGCCCAACTCCCCCGAACGCCGCCCGCCGCTCGCCATGGATGCCGGTGTGACTGAAAGTGGACTAAATGTGACTCTCACCATTCGGCTGCTTATGCACGGAAAGGAAGTAGGAAGCATCATTGGGAAGAAAGGGGAGTCGGTTAAGAGGATCCGCGAGGAGAGTGGCGCGCGGATCAACATCTCGGAGGGGAATTGTCCGGAGAGAATCATCACTCTGACCGGCCCTACCAATGCCATTTTCAAGGCCTTCGCTATGATCATCGATAAGCTGGAAGAAGATATCAACAGCTCCATGACCAACAGCACGGCGGCCAGCAGGCCCCCGGTCACCCTGAGGCTGGTGGTGCCGGCCACCCAGTGCGGCTCCCTGATTGGGAAAGGCGGGTGTAAGATCAAAGAGATCCGCGAGAGTACGGGGGCCCAGGTCCAGGTGGCTGGGGATATGCTGCCCAACTCCACTGAGCGGGCCATCACCATTGCTGGCGTGCCGCAGTCTGTCACCGAGTGTGTCAAGCAGATCTGCCTGGTCATGCTGGAGACGCTCTCCCAGTCTCCGCAAGGGAGAGTCATGACCATTCCGTACCAGCCCATGCCGGCCAGCTCTCCAGTCATCTGCGCGGGCGGCCAAGATCGGTGCAGCGACGCTGCGGGCTACCCCCATGCCACCCATGACCTGGAGGGACCACCTCTAGATGCCTACTCGATTCAAGGACAACACACCATTTCTCCGCTCGATCTGGCCAAGCTGAACCAGGTGGCAAGACAACAGTCTCACTTTGCCATGATGCACGGCGGGACCGGATTCGCCGGAATTGACTCCAGCTCTCCAGAGGTGAAAGGCTATTGGGCAAGTTTGGATGCATCTACTCAAACCACCCATGAACTCACCATTCCAAATAACTTAATTGGCTGCATAATCGGGCGCCAAGGCGCCAACATTAATGAGATCCGCCAGATGTCCGGGGCCCAGATCAAAATTGCCAATCCCGTGGAAGGCTCCTCTGGTAGGCAGGTTACTATCACTGGTTCTGCTGCCAGTATTAGTCTGGCCCAGTATCTAATCAATGCCAGGCTTTCCTCCGAGAAGGGCATGGGGTGCAGCTAGAACAGTGTAGGTTCACTTAAAACCCTTTCTGCTGTTTTCCCATGATCCAACTGTGTAATTTCTGGTCAGTGATTCCAGGTTTTAAATAATTTGTAAGTGTTCAGTTTCTACACAACTTTATCATCCGCTAAGAATTTAAAAATCACATTCTTTGTTCAGCTGTTAATGCTGGGATCCATATTTAGTTTTATAAGCTTTTCCCTGTTTTTAGTTTTGTTTGGGTTTTTGGCTCATGAATTTTATTTCTGTTTGTCGATAAGAAATGTAAGAGTGGAATGTTAATAAATTTCAGTTTAGTTCTGTAATGTCAAGAATTTAAAAATTAAAAAATGGATTGGTTAAAAAATGCTTCATATTTGAAAAAGCTGGGACTACTATCTTAAACTCTTTGTTGGTGGTTTTTTTTCCCCTTCCCTTTTAGCGTTAGGCCTTTGTAGGAAGAAGGGTGGGCCCATCCTTCGTGTTCTCTAGCCCTTTTCACCTATTGGTAAGATTCCATTCCCTTTCTGTCCCAACAAAGGAACACCGCAGGCTGGGCCTGCTTTGGGGTATTTGCAGACGGAGGGTCTTAACCGTAGAGTGACATTCCTCCAGCCAAGTTCCAGAGAGAGGCCTCTGCCCATTTCTCTGGTAGAAAACAAGGGTTTTCTGAGATGGAGAAAGTAGCCCCTTCCGTAGGAACCCTAATGAATGGCAGTGTGTCCTCCCGACCAGCCAGCCCCTCCCCCCAACGCAATCTCACTGGGGAAACTTAGGAACAAAAAAAAAAAATGTTCTAAGGTGGGAGGAGCCTGGGGGGGTTACCCAGAGGAGAGGTGGGGGAGGGAAAAGGGCTGGGCGGGGGCTGAGGGAGGGGCTGAGGTGGGGGAAGGGAAAGGGTCAAGGGTGGTTTTGAGGATTTGGAAGAGGGCGAGGGCGGGGTGGTGATAGGGATGGAGGGGTTTGGGGCCCCCAGGACTGAACGGGGATGGTACCAGTGGGGTGCACATGGCAAGCATGCACCTGTGGCAAGCAGCCTGTCAGAGGATGTTATTACACCTTCCAAGTGGTGAATCCAGAAACAAAAGAAGCCCAGCTTCTAATTCTTCAGCTGTGTGCAATGTTAGAGAAGTCATTATACAAGAAAATAATCCTGCCTAAATGGGGCAGCCCTCACAGGCAGGAGTGTAGCTGGATCCACTGATTGTAGCCTAAGAATGTGGTGGTAAAAATGCAGGTTCCTGGGTCCCACCCCCCAAATCTAATCAGGAAACTGCATTTTTAACAATACCCCAAAAGGTTCTTTGATTTAAGTGCCACTGATTATCTTTACCAGTGGATTAGGAAGATCTTGCTGTGAAGGCCTAATAACCTCAAGTCCACACCAACCAGTTGGAGTAGACTGGACTTGATGAAAGAAGAAAAATTCTCTATGATTAGGCAAAGACACTAGAAAAAGGCAATTCAAGACAATGGACAATTAGGTGCCAAAAGTGCTTAGTTCAAACCCCAGGCACTGTGGGAGATCCACTAACAGCAAAGAGAAACTCCTGTGAGAGGGGAGTATTACACGCAATAAATATCTGTTGAGGCTTACTCTCTACAGGGTATCTGCTTTTTTCTGAGGTACAGAGCTGCTTCCGAGAGGCCCTGGAGGTAAGCCTGGGGTCTACCATGCACTTCACACCCACCCACTGTGGAGTCAGGCAGTCACTGAAGGGAACCTAATTTCATGAGTTAAACCTGAGTTCAAATTTGAGTTCTGCCTCTTACTTGTGGCCTTGGGCAAATTATTTAACCTCTGTATAACATGGAGGTGTTAAAAGTACACATCTCGGGCTTGTGAAAAAAAATGAGCATGTTTGTAAAGCAGAGCAGTGCTTACAACGTAGTAGACTTCAGTATACTTCATACTGCAGAAAGCCAAAGGTCCATTTCTGTCCACACTGTCTTTGGACAGAAAAGACATGCTTAAAAGAACAATGTGTTCTAAATGACAAGCTGAGAGAGGACAGTTGGACTAAGGGGCCAGGACAGGTAAAGGAGGACCTAGTGAAAACTGGGTTGTCTCCTGGAGATAATGAGCATAAACCAAGTTTGCATGAAGTAGGGCAGGAGTGAGTAAGTTAAACCGTCAAACCCAGGCCAAATGGTTTTTGCGGAGTCCCTAAAATTTGCTGGGTGAAATGGTTCAAATGCCCTGTAAAAAGTAGACCTCCAATTGTCCTCAACCCCTTTCCCCTCCCACCCTTTCAAAAGCAAAGCTGGCCATAATTTGTAAAATAATGAGTTAGGCAGCAAGGCAGAGGATGAAGGGCAACTTGGATGGACTGAAGTCAAGAAGAGCAGCCAGAACATGGCCTCAAGCGGA